TTGTAGAACATATTTTCTGATTTATACTTACCCTCAATTAGAGAACCATTAATGTATATCGACGTGTTGAAGATTTGGGAGAACCATTAATGCATATCGACGTATTGAAGATTTTTGAAGAACTATTAATGCATATCGACGTGTTGAAGATTTTTGGAGAACCATTAATGCATATTGAAGTGCTAAAGATTTTAAGAACCATTAATGCATATCAACGTGTTTATTTTTGGTGCTCATTCCTAGATTATTTATAGTCATTATTGAGACATAATTCCAAGCGTGTTATAATGAAATAAAGTTAAAATTCTATCTATTTAAAAAAATGCTCAAATAATTACCTGTATTGTATTTTATTCATGTTTTACAATAAATACATTATTTAATGATTGATAAAATGTTAATTAAGGATAGGAATCGACTTAGTCGACTAAAAAATTCATATATAAATTACTATGTTTAGTCAATTTAGTCGACTAAATCATATAGCCAATTCCTATCCCTAATGTTAATAATTGGAGTGCGTTCTTAGACTTAATCGTATCTTCGTTTTTAGTTGAATTGTATTTTGATATAGAGAGGATTCACGCAACAATTCTTATTGTTATATATCAAATATTATAATAATTTATCAATAAAAAAAATTTTTATACATAATTAAATAATTAAATATGCGATCTTAAGTTTAAGTGAACTTTTATTTAATAAGTGTCTTGTCTTTTCTTTACACGCAATTAAATAATAAAATCTTCTAAACCTGATGCACACCAATTTAGTATTATAACAATACTATACTTAAAAATTTGTTGTAGTAAAAGACGTTACTATATTACTGTACTTAATTTCAAAACTAATTATAATAATTAGCATCATAAATCCTAATTATATTATTCTCATCCTTAATAAATAATGTATCCAAATATGAATTTATTTCGTAATTATCAATTTTTTTTTTGAAATTCACGATCCTATTGTTTCAGTAAATTTCATAGTTCTTTGAAATATTATAAAAAGTCCAAGTTCATCGCAAAAAAGAGTGGTTAATTTGATTGATATCAAGCTATTCCTTGTAACTCCATATTATCTTCATAATTGTGTTAAATACTCAACCAAACC